ACACACACACACAGACACACACACACACTCACACAAACACACACGTGCACACACACACACACACACACACACAGACACACACACACACTCACACAAACACACACGTGCACACACACACACACACACACACACAGACACACACACACACTCACACAAACACACACGTGCACACACACACACACACACACACACAGACACACACACACACTCACACAAACACACACCCTGTCGGCCAGCAAAATGAAAACCTGTCAGACTCCTGAAGATTGTATCAATACTCAAAATAAGATAATTGTTTGACATAATTTCACTTCAGAAATAAAAAAAATGCTATTTTTGAAGTGTTATCTATGTGTGTCCTGTGTGTAACAGTAACAGTGATTTTTCTTAGCTTTTTCCAAGGTTGGCTGGTATGAGGGCCTGGAGGATCGTTACATGTCAAGTGTTCCCACGTTGACAGTGGCCAACACTACATGTCATATTCCCCGTTCGGATGCATTCCACATGTTCAGAGATCCCGTGTCAGGAGACTTGCCCTGGCCTGGTTTAATTTTTGGTCTCACTGTACTGGCTACCTGGGTGTGGTGCACCGATCAGGTAACTGTTCCAGTACTMACACATGTCAACCAATTCTTTCACAGCATCATTTTGAGATTTTAATTCATACTTTTGTCGCAACTTGTTTAGATTAATGTAGTGCACTTTGTGTCTGGCTGAGCCAATGATTATTGACTCAACTTTAGCTGGTTCAGAACGCTGCTGCTTGCCTTTAAACTGGAAAAGAAAATGAGATCACAGCACCCCTGTTTGGAGGCATTTGGCRACATTGGCTCCCTGTTAATTTCCAAGTTATGTTCTATTTGTTTTTAAATGTCTTTATACGTAGTCTTGGCACATAGTGTCTGTCTGACCTGCTCCAGCTTTATGTTCCTTCTCGCTCTCTCAGGTATTCCTAAGACTTCCTTTTGGTCATCTTAAAATCAAAGAGGAAGCTTAATGATTTAGGTATTTTAATGTTTTGTTTTATTGCTTGTTGTTTTTATGAATTTATTGGTTTATACTTAACAGGGTTGTTTTTAAGTGCTTTATAAATAATGTAAAATGATTGATTAGTGATAGCTCTAACATGGAACTAAGGAAACAGGGTCAGTTAATAATCCTGATGGATAAATAGCAGCCACTCCTCCACCTTGACCTGTTGTTCTAGAAACATGAAAATTTAAATAATAAGCAGGAYTGGATTCATACTACTAAAATCCTCTGTAAGACAATAAATAAATATAATAAATATGATGATCAGTTATCAGATCATTAATTAACAGAGATTTAGAGGAAAGAGATCTGATCTCTGATTTCAGCTCTCAAGGTTCTAAARGATATCATAAATGCCCAGGACTGTAAAAAACATTGTGTTGCACTATTTATTGACCTGTCCAAAGCCTTTGACACAGTAGACCACAGACTAATGATAAATATCCTGGAACATTCTGGTCTATCAAAACAAGCAGTCTCCTGGTTCAGCAACTACCTGACTGACAGAACACAGTCTGTTCATGTAGTTGGATCCTCCTCCAGTTTCCTAAATATTGTGAAAGGGGTACCACAGGGCTCAGTCTTAGGACCCATCTTATTCTCTTTATATATAAATAATCTGTGCAGTAGTCTGACAAATGCCTCCCACCACTTTTACGCAGATGATACCATCATCTACTGTTGTTCATCCTCCCTCAGCCAAGCTTTCAACTACCTCCAGGACACTTTTAATGTCAACCAGTCCCGTCTTCAAAAATTAAAACTGGTGTTAAATAATGACAAAACAAAAATCATGATTTTTTTCTAAAAGAAAACAGCAACCAGGGAGCCAACCAACAATTGCAACCCAACAGGGACAACAAATTGAAATCTGCTCCATTTACAAATATCTAGGTTTCTACATTGATTCTGACTTTTCCTTTAAAGCTCAGATCACTAAAATGGCAACTAAGCTCAAACTGAAATTAGGTTTTTATTTCATAAATAAGTCCTGCGTCTCATGAAAAGCCAGGAAAACATTAGTAACTGCAAAATTCATGCCTATTTTAGATTATGGTGACATGCTGTACATGACTGCTGCATCAAAATACCTGCAATCCTTAGATTCCCTTTACCGCAGTGCTCTCCGGTTCATCACTGACTCCAACTATCTCACTCATCACTGTGAGCTGTAGGTTAAATCAGGCTGATCATCAGTCGCAGCTCGCAGATACACTCACTGGATATCCTTTGTCTATAAGACCCTCCTGAACCTAGTCCCATCATATCTTACCACCTTAATACAAACATCACACAGTAAAT